ATTTTCCAAAAAGGTAGCAACCTCAAAGTGATATGGCCTGTATACGCGCGAACTATAGGCAATCGATTTGCTTTATGTTCCACTTATAAAATTTTATTTTCGTATTTTAATATTTGGTTCCTTGCTTTTAAACCAACTTGTCTCAATAAAAAATATGTTTGTCTTGGGGTGGAAAGTGCGTCATAACCCAATAGAAATTTAATGGAGTAAAGGAAGAAGTAAAAACTTAAATAAATTAAAAAAACAAGGAAGAATCATAATACAAAGTTATTCATTTTTTCACATTTACACGTGGCGGATATTTTCTTATGTAAATATATTATATTTATTTCTACTTAGTTATGTTTTCTAACCAATATTCTTCTAAGCTGACATAGATGTATATTGATCCCTACAAAGTCGACTTAGAATAAAATCCATATGACTTTTCAATGATCAGGTGTATATACTTAGGTATGTAAGTGATTGTGTGTGACCTCCTCCGTCATTGACTGCCAATAAAGTTACAAAATGGAAATCACCAACAGCGAAAAATGGAAATCAATTTACGCTTACTTCAAATGCAGGTGACGCTGATACTTTGAACACACCCGTATATACATATATACATGCTTATATCGGGTGTTTTTTTTCGAGATATAGAACTTAAAGTTGGCATTACTGTTCAACATGGCGACCGATTTAACAGCTGTCAAGTGATTTATTCTCAGTTTGGTTTGGCAATTCATCATTAATAGACTCACGCCTTAACAACACTTGCAAATAGTGCAATTTTTTTTCGAAAATAATGGTTCTGTGCGGAATACGTATCGCGCACTACGTTCATTTTATCGTCGATAATTTTTTTAGCGAAGAAGCGCACTTCTGGTTGAATGGCTACGTCAACAAACAAAACTGCCGCATTTGGAGTGAAGCTAATCCTCAAGTGTATGTCGAAACACCGTTACATCCAGAAAAACTGACTGTTTGATGCGCTTTATGGGCTGGTGGAATCATTTGTCCGTACTTCTTAAAAAACGATAATGGCCAGAGCGTTACAGTCAATGGTGATCGGTAAAGAGCCATGATTACTAACTTTTTCATTCCTGAATTGAACAACACCACAACATGTCACACATCTCGTGCCACAATCGATTTATTGAAAGATACATTTGGTGACCGCCTAATTTCACGTTTTGGACCTGTGAATTGGCCTTCAGGAGCTTGTGATTTAACACCGCTAGACTACTCTCTATGGGGTTATGTAAAGTCATTGGTCTAAGCGCATAAGCCCCAAATGCTTAACCATTTAATACCGATATACGGCCACAAATTTTTGAAAAAGTCATCGAAAATTGGACGTCCAGATTGGACTACATCCGAGCTAGCCGTGGCGGTCATATGCCAGAAATCATATTTAAAATGTAATGCCACAAGATTATATTTGGGATAAATAAAATTCATGTCAATCGAATAATCCATCGTTGTTTTATTGCAATTTAAAGTTCTATACCTCTAAAAAACACCCTTTACATATGTCTGTATAGGAAAAGTACGTAGGGCGCGCAAAATGGGCGTCATCTTCCTTGAGTTCTGTTCCGTGAATCAAAGTGCTCGGTATGAATATGCGTACATTGTTAGACGCCGCCAAGGGAAGATTTCGGAACTTTGTAGAAGAAGCGATTTTGAATTATTGTTAAACGAAATTCAATTATATTGTGACAATTTTCGGAAAGCTTTGTGCACTGACACACAATATTGGCAGGGTATTTGTGTGCGCCTCCATATTGTTAAAGGTCGCGCAACCAGCTTCGCAAAATTGATTGGATGAAAGAAAAATCAGTTAAAGTAAACGGAATTTAGCGTGCTTTTGTTTCGAGGGTGAGAGTTATACATATGTATTGCTGATTAGCTGAAGGTTTGCAGCGTTTGAGTCGATTACATCTTTAATAAATAAGATATGCAAACCAGTATTTTTAAATGGAAATAGCAGACCCCGCAATTTCGGCAGAGTGAAATCCAAAAAATATACGCTGTTTCATTGCTCCGATTTCAGATAGTTCAATGGTGGTATCGATATGGGACAATATCGTATATCCCGCTTCAAAAAGAAGATTATCCAATAGAACTTCGATAAGGAAGATTTTCCACTCAAAAAGATTTAATTAAATTCAATTCCACTTAATTTCGCAAAACTTTATAATCCTTTTATTACAACAAACTAAATAATATTTCGTCAAAGTTTTTGAGACTTACAATTTATCATACCCTCTCTCCAAAAATTTAACTTCTATTTTCTCTCATCCTATTATTGAAGTTTACACTCAACTTTAGAAAACTAGTACAGTCATTTCTGTCCTTCAACTTGGCCAACTGTCTTTAAATATTTCCAACTGTTGCAATTCGGAGAAATTATATTTTTGAAACAAAATCTTATCTATCAAATTTTCATAGCATCTCTAAAAGAGTGAACTTACACCTTTATTTTTTTATTCCCAATGCTAAAAGCATATATTCCAAAAATTGGTTCAGCATTGTTGGTTAACGATTAGTTTTGGGAAACAGATCCAAGTCTGTATTCTACAATCATAAATAACCAAACGCTACATTTTTTTGACAGACCGTTTCTTTGGAACTCCAGTAAACCAAAACACAAAACTATTTTGCGTATTTCTATTTTTATATCAATTCTAGTTATTGGAATTAATATTTCCGCAATCTCACAAGTGAAACACTCTGAGTTCTAATCAATATTAGTTTAATTTCTTGTTTATAAGTGAGACGTAAAATCCGCCTTAGTATGCAATCAGTAAATAATATGTTCTAACAGATAGATGTTCTATCTGTATAGATCTCTATCTATATATATATATATATAACAAGTATTTGCTAGTAAAACGAACACATCTGACTCTCAATTATTTAATTATCGCATTTCACGAAATTAATGATTTGCCTTTTTGACCTATGGTTTTTGAGAGATATAAACCGTAAAACTTAGTTTGATTATGATTACATGTTGAAAGTTAAATGAGGGACATTAAATTCACCACAACGATCTTTTTATTTTTTTAAAATAATGAGAGGAAAAGCATCAATTGTTAGGAATTAAGTGAATGGGTAATCGCAATTGGAGGGCTTATACAAAAGCTATGGGTGTGGTACATTATCGCATAGGAACTCAAAGAATATATAGACCGATATTATCAACGAGAATTTGAGTACAGATTCGCCTTGATTAATGTCAGCTCAATGTTATTGAAATAAATATATTATTTTTGAGAGTTATGTACGGTATATATTATATTAAGCGAAGTGCAGAAGTCATTAACATACAAGTATATTAGCTTGAGTTATGGAACAATTTAACTCCAAACTATAATTCGCCCAAAAATGAATGAACTTTATGGTAACATCCCACGTATGGCTGGATATGTTATTTCCGCTAAAGGACTGTATAAGTCTGTATAACAAACATTGTATTCAATATATGGGGCCTTGTGGAACTGTTGTATTCAATTGATGGTATGCTTATTGAAACGCTATCAGCCACACAGATCTGAAATTATTTAATTTTTAATTCCGGAATTTTCGTGACGATATCGAAAATGTTGAACGTGCGAATAAAATTCACTAATTTTTGAAGAAAATCTCCACACGGTACTTCTAACATTTTGTATCGATATATTATTTGGCTAAAATAACGTTATATAAAATTTGTGGTTCGGTTTTGGTAATTTTGCAACTTTAGTATGAATTATTACGGAAAAGTTAAGTATCTTATTTCCTTCGAAAATTCAGCATCTATAAGTTTCTATATACACTAGATCAGCGACTAAGTGTTCATCGATGTTTGACTTTGGTTTCCTTCTGTTGTAAAGTCACAATTATGCAATACATTGATGACAGTGATGTGGAACGCCCGAGATCTAACAGAAAAGAAATTTATTAGTGAAGAAACAGTAATTAATTGGTGGAAATGATAGGGTGAATGCAGTGAATGTGCATACTGCTTGATCACAAAAGTTAAGGACCCTGTATGTACTTGATTTGAAAAAAATGTATTTATTGAGAATTCCTTATTTAAATGTACATTTTTATATTTAATTTCCTAACAGTTAGCCCTGATATTGTAGTACCCAAAAGTAAACGTTGAAGACGCTATAAAGTATATATATAATTGAGCAGCATGACGAGCTGGGCCGATTCCGCCTGTCCACCTATCGATTTTGCACATGTCCGTTTCTCACCACGAAGCTACACATTTGTCGGAACCGTCGATATCGGACAACTGTAGCATATAGCTAATTTGACAAGGTATCTGAACAAAATTTGTCATATAATATTATCCAAGGCATCGCTATAATTTCCGAACATATATGTAGTTCGGATCGGGCTAATACAGCTTATTGCTGCCATTCAAACTGACCGATCAAAATAAAGATAAAGATCTTTTTATTCGCGTTTAAGCTACCTGTGATGGGTATTACTGCTTCGGTGCATCCGAAGTAAACGTGTTTCTTTGTTTTAATTTTTTATGATTGTGTGCAATTGATTGTGTAAAAAAGTTTAAATCTCTTCTTCAGATTCTTCTAATGTGTGCTTCCATTCAACCATCTGTGTGTTCAGAGTAAACCCAAACGAGATTCGACCTTAGCGTTTGGCGTAGCTGTTAAAGCAGCATCCAGCAGTTTAATCAATAATTTTTAGTGTGTAAATAAGTTTGTATGTATGTATGCATTTATGTATTGGATTGCAGGCGCCGACTTTTAATTCTGGATTTTGAGTTTGTGGCTTAAAGATTGCAGCGCTTCCTAGGCTCGTTTACTTTTGTGGTACGCTACAAGAGAAGCGCGAGAGCGTTATCAACTGTTGAGAAAAGTGCTGCGAGAGGGTGTTGCACTGAAAAGCATTTCGGGCTTCAGTGACTTTTGTTTACGCATAGGAAGCAAATAGTATTTATTTGTATTTGATTTATGGTTGATTATATACTGGAATATGCATTCATATATTGAGATAGTTACAGCGACAACAGTTTCCAGAGAGAAACAATTCATCATAGTATTATTTTTGTTATGTAACATAACTGTTATTGAATCTCTTTGCCACAAATACATTTTGTTTTCTGTGAAATTAAATAAACTTTAATTTTTTTATTGATGTACGATGGGTGGATTAATTTGATCGGTCCCTTGTAGGGTGCTCTCAGTCAGCAGCACCCAGTACTTAAGTTTCAACTTGTTTGCATATTTACGAAGCTGGCTGACTGGCTTAAGTGTGCATTTCAGCTTGTTGCAGAGAAGCAAAGCGCCGCAATCGCTGTGAGTATCTCGTCGGGTTCGGGCTCTTGGCTGGGTAAGGTGCATGTCGCTTTACGCAGACTACGCATGATACTAAAATAGAACGAACACAAACATACACACCAATTAGAAAATAATTAAGTGTGCTCTATACAAAACTGTGGATACGTGGTAAATAAAACAAAGGAGGAGGAGCAAGCGTTAAATTTTTGTGTAAAATACAACTTCATGTTAAAAATTGAAAAAAGGTGTAAAAGTAAGAAAAATATCGGCAGAGTTTTAACTTGCATACAAGAGAAGTGAAATTTTCGGAGTAAATAATGTTTTGTTTTTAAAAACTTTCACCACCTGTTGGTAGCCATTTGTTACGTTTGTGGCTGTAGCAGTTCACCTAAGGGCGTTTATTGTTTAATTTATTATCAGTAAAAACTCAAATTAAACGAGTACAGTTATGCTGCAGTTTCTGGTGCTATGTACTTTACTGCTCCCCCACGTCTGCCACTCTCAAGTCCCGGAATCTCCATGCGGGCCGCGTTTCAGCTACGTACACGAGGGCAATAACTACTTCGGTGAAATCAAATTGGATCGCTTGGAAAGAGGACGCACCGAGATTAAAGTGGCATTCTCTCAACACGACTCATTAACTTCTGTAAGTATGTCTGGAGTATAGAAAGTACAACTATGACAAATGGGTATTTGTTGTAATATTTAAGCATACATAATATGTCACTTTGGTATTCTGGGCGCACAAATTTTCAAAACAAAGATATTTGCCTTTGCGAAGGTAGCTCCAAGGAGGGCCGAAGTCAAAGACAGAATACTGGCATAGAAGTTTTTCTAGATATACACATAGAACATTTAAAACATCTGGGCCTTGTCCATGATATCATTCGTGGGGTTCACACACAAAACCAAATACAAATTAACATAACTTTTGATCTACATATGTGACTAAGAATTAAGTTATAGATGTTATTTATAATTGTTTCTGTTTTTATCGAAAGTAATGCCGGCAATAATTGGCAACTGAAGTATAATACCCGGAAACCATTAATATGAGCATAAAACTCATACTTGATCCGTAGCTAGTTGCAAAACTGGCAAAATTGATCTTGAAAAAAACATATTTATGATAAGATTCCTGATCAAGGTGATTTTGAGCAATATATATAAAGAATTTTAACATAGTCTTATGTGAAGCTTGGAGCACATGCTATTTCAAAGTTTCCCACTTACGTTCACAAGTATACCACCAGAATTGACGCTCATAGTCAATTGTGGTAATAACACACAACGCCGAAGAACATTAAATAAATTTTTAGCGCCCTCTAAACCAACTAATAATGTATTCCACTCATTTAATTACTCAGAACTACTACGGCCGTATTACACCATATCCGGATGGACCACTGCAAGTAAACCGAGTGCCGGCCTTTTTTCGTGTACATTTTCCGAATCCGAGTAAACCACCCAAATTAACTAAACTTAGCATCAATGGCAACGTTCTCTGTTCTGGTTCAAGATGTACGTATTAAATAAGTAAATTCATTTACAAACACACCCTCAAATATGATAACTTTCTTACAGATTCGGCGCCAAGCAGTTGGTTCGAGCTTACATACACCGTAAATGCCCACGGTTTAAATCCACATCCGCAAACAACAGTGGAAGCACCGACCTACGCAACGGCACCGCCACCTGCACCTACCCGACCGAAGCCAACTTACACCACCAGCTACACTTCGACGCCAAAACAAAGACCACCGTCTACACACGCACCGAGCGCCGCACCACCACCCACGAAATTCTCCAATATTTTTCTCACCGAGCGTTTTCAGCAAAACACCACTGTTACCTGCGGCACCGAAGGCAATCTCATCCGTCCGTTTCTACATGGCGGGAAAGAGTTGGTACGTGGACAATTTCCTTGGATGGCAGCGGTCTATCGGAAGGAGACGGTGCATAGCTTATCCTACATTTGTGGCGGCACATTGTTGTCGCAACGAAGTGTTGTCTCAGCAGCACATTGCTTTCAAAACCTGCCCGCCACCCAGGTGGCACTGTTTCTCGGACGCACAAATTTGGAGAGTTTCAGTGAGGATGGATTTGTCACGCGTGATGTTGAACGTTTGATTATACATCCGGATTATAATAATCTGCCAGACGCGGATATTGCCGTGATGCGTATGGCGGCTATAAGCAGGTGAGTTGTAACTTGAAATTTAAAGGTATATGTTTTATTGGAAACTTAGATATTAGGACTTATTTATCATATATAGTTATACATACCATATATTGTAAACAAATATTGCGAGACATGTAATAAACAGAAATTAGAAGAAGGACGTAAATCCTTTCGAGGCCTAATTTTATTTTACCTATTATGAATGAACTGAAGTTCTCAGATATGCCTGCACGTTTTTATACCCTTAAGTTTTCCACGAGGTTTGTAACACCCAAAAGAAAACGTCGGACGCTCTTCAGAATACATAAATATACCATATAAATGATCGGCGTGGCGAGCTGAGTTGATTTAACTATGGCCGTGTAATCATTCATCTTTATATATGCGAACTAGTTCCCTGATTTTTATGATATCGCTGTGAAGTTTTGTATACGTCCTTTTATTCCCAAGAATCTGCTCATTTGTCGGAACCACCGATGTTGGACAACCATAGTATATGTCTGCCATACAAACTGAACGACCAAAATTACGTTCCTGTATGAAAAACTTTTTTATTTGACGAAATTTGGCATGGAGTATGCCATTCTTGTATATAATATTCTAGCTTTGGTGCAACCGAAGGTGACGGTTTAATATACAAATAGTTCTGTTCGGTTGGAGAGTTGTTATAGGCATGAAACTTGAAAGGAGTGGAGGTTGGAAAATATGTGTAATATAATCTACTTGGATTGGGAAGAGTGGATCAATACAAAGTAGATGTGATTAAACAACAACATTACTGGAATCTTATCTCATGGTAGGAAGCTCTTTGAAGTTAGCCTGACTATCCTCTGAGATTATGTCGGTCGCATCGGCATAATGAATCTTGAAGCCCTGGTCTTAGTTGGCAATATAACAGATCAATATTACACATATTTCGACACGCCATCGTTGCAAACACATATGTAGTAAAAACATCTATACATAATATACATAATATCAATAAGCTCCATTCAGATTAAATCTAAGCTAACTTCTTACCAACTATTTAATTTAGCATACATATATGTACATATATGATAGCTGTCTATCTAAAACTTTTCTAGCAGTTCTATAATCAGAATTTAGTAATTTATATAATATACTTTTTTTTTTATATACTTCCCTCTTTCCACAAAGTTACACCGATTTCATTCGCCCAATTTGTCTGTGGACAGAGTCAACACAAGTCTCACGCGTCGTTGGCCTCTCGGGCACTGTAGCTGGTTGGGGCTCCAATGAGAATGGTCAACTCGTCTCACCGATCGCCAAGAGAGCACAAGTAAAAATCGTAAGTGAAGTGGATTGCATACGCTCCTCGGCGGTTTTCTCAAAACTAGTAACTAGTCGCACATTTTGCGCCGGTAATCGCGACGGTGTGGGGCCCTGCATGGGCGATTCGGGCAGTGGTTTGGTACTGCAACGCAACAACCGTTGGATGCTGCGCGGCATCGTATCATTTGGGCAGACTAATCGGGGGCAGTGCAATTTGTACGAATATGTGGTGTATGTTGATGTGGCACAGCATTTGAATTGGCTGGAAGATAATATATAGTTTATGTGAAGACACATAGTTTTAATTTTTATTTACATTACATTTAAAATACATAAATTACATTTATTTATTTATTGTTTTAGTTTTATATTTTAGTAAATATTCGTTAAAGTAATATTTATGGGGACCAGGTGTTCATAGAGTCTTATGCATTGCAAAGAGATACCCAATGAATAAAAAGAGTGGCCACATTTTGACACAAGAAGGGTTTATCAGTGATTAATTCTAATCTCGATTCTGTGAAGCTTTATTCCCAACAAGAACCAATTTCCTGGAACAACCAGTGAAGATTTTACTAACAGTTATATAGAGAGGGAAAAACTTGGGCTTGGTATAGTGTTGCTGACTTCGACAAAATGTGAATATAAACCTCTATATGTCTTTGAAAGTGCATGTGAATATTGGAACAGGTCAGAATATGTAATGTCGTATTTAACTTAAACATTAATTTCCGATGTACATTATTGTAGATGGATTTTGGCATGGATATATTTTAACCTTAGGTATAAATAGTGTTTTGAAAAAAATAATTAATTTTAGAGCTTAAGAAGTGCTGACGGGACCGAGTAGTACATATAATTTATATCGGATACCCTATAAATGATCCGCGTGACGAGCTAAGTCGAATTAGTCATGCCCGTCTCTCAGTCTGTCTGTATATATGCGAACAGGTCCCTCAGTTTTTTCCGATTTGAAATTTTTGGACACATCCTTTTCTCTTCAGAAGCTGCCGGCGTCGGATTGTATGGAAAATTTCTTTATTTGACAAGATATCTTCACGAAATCGGAAACAGATTATTGTCAAAGAGAACCCTAGAATTTCCAAACAAAAATTTCAAGTCGGACTAGGACAGCATATAGCTGCCATACAAATTGAACGATCAAAATCAAATTCTTGTATAGAAAACTTTTTTAGTTATAATTCGGAATCATATATTATTACTGTGTACTATATAATTGCATTATAAACAACCGTTACATACGTACAATAAACACCGTCAACGTTCGCTTCAAACAATTACACGATCAGTCTTTTTGATTCGTTTGGATGCTTAATGTCTGGTACTTTTGCTGAAAGTTTTTACGCAAAGAATTACTGTCATTATTCGTCACAGGCTTCGCGCCCACCTCAGTCAACTAACACACCGTCGATGTGTAAACTACGCTGCAGATCTTAATACGAAATTTCAACAAATTTTTGCCTCAAGTGATTTGCCAAGTACAGACGTGCCGTCATTCGTTGTGCTCAGCCCGTTGCGTCCAGTTCCCTAATACCAGTGTAGTAGTAGTTGTGCGGCTGCTGTGGTATTGAGTCAGGTATTTCTCAGCACCAATCAAGTGTAAAAACAAACATAGTGATACTTGTTAGCAAAGCAAAAAAATAAGCGATATTGTAGTGCAATCAATAAGCCGTGAAATAGTGCGAGAGTATTCAAAATATTTCAATATTTTTATAGAAAAATCGTGTTCGGGATTCGCCGTTAGTGTGTGCTCATAACCTAGAGGGGACCGTCGTTGGTAATCGTCTGTTTATTAGCGCAGATGAGCCGCTCAGTATGTACGCTACAAATTTACACTCGCTCATCTTCATGTGCAGTATTTCGACGCTGTTACGCTCTGCGCTCGCGCAGATGGCGCTCCCGCCAATCGCGTGTCCCCAGTACTTTCAATATGTGAGCGACGGCTACACTTACTATGGTTTGATCACATTGCCACAAGTACCAGTGGGCAGGGCAGATGTGCGTGCGCATTTCTCTCAACGTGGTCTACCCACGTCGGTAAGTAAACGTGTATTACATTACTCATTCACAAGAAAACAAAAACAAACCAGAGAAGCAGTGAAGCAGAATTTGCACTATCCATTATCAAACTTCCAGTGATTGATAGACGGTTTTAGTGATGGCGATTTTACTCGAGCATATTAACTTTTCGTCAATCATCTCTGCTATGCTCTGGCGGTACTGCAGTAGGAAAGCAGACATTTCATTTCACGAATCTACGATTGATAGAATGAAGCATAGAATTCCACAAATTTTATTAAGAAATAAATGAAGTCGAGTCCCGCTCCGACCTTAGACAGCTAATACTGTATGTTTTTTAAATATAAGTACGCATAGAAACTGTTTCCAATTACGAGACAGTCCATAAACACTATTTGTAAAAGTTGTTAAAGAAAATTGTAAACACTACACTGGTCTACAGAGATTTTGTTTCCCAAGACATAAGATTGATTTAAAATATATTTCTGCTACCAATTCGTTAAAATATCAATGATTTTGCAAGGTTGTTTATATCACCCAAAACTATTCGAGATAGATATAGAGTTATATATGTTTATATAAATAATAAGGATGACAAAACGAGTTGAAATCCGATAATTGTGGAGATAATATAAGTTGATACTCCTATTTGCTCCTAGAATCTGTTGTCTGCATATTTTTCACAATTTCTTCATAATTTGCTGCTTTATGGTTACCCAGGAAATTTTAAACTATAAACACAAATCTTTTCCAAGATTCAGCTTCTGGAACGGGCATCACTTTGATAAAATCTATATCTTTCATTAATTGACGTATTTGAAGACCATCAAATATTCCACTTCCAAAATTTTCTTTACTAAGTATCGGGAAATTTTTTCAAGTGTAATTAAAATAATTTTCTTCTACGTCCACTGTTTTGAAAAATTGCTTTACCATTTCTAACTTGTTCAATTATTAAAGTACTGAGTTCATTTTGAGAAAATTTGGCGTAAATCCTCCCATTCGCTTTTACCGGTAGACTGTACCAATTTCTGAGCATTAGGCGAAATCATTGTTTTTGAGGGCATGCCAATAACGTTTGAAACTTAAAGGGAGAAATTTATTGAGTAAAACAGACATTTTGTAGGCTGTAGGTCTAGATATTATTTTAAAGCTTTAATATTTCGATAGGCTTACCATGGTCGCATCGCCCCTAATCCTGATGAAAGCACCGTTTTGCGTAATGTTTTAAATCGTCAACCTGCTACTTTTCGTGTGGATTTCGCGAATCCCAGTGACCCGCCTAAATTAACATTACTCTCACTGGATGGCAACGATTTATGTGTGAGTTCTGATTGTGAGTATTAAACCAAATAATGGTGAATTCAACTATATGTTTAAAATTTATTTGTGTATACCAAACAGTTTGAATTTCCCGCAGTATTCCACTGTTCTAAAGCTCCTTAATTCTTGAATACTTCCAGTTACGGTAATACATTTTATTATATATAATATATAATGCAAATAGGACTTTAATAGGTTTGTTCAATAAGTAAATTTTATGGTCTATGGGTACAGATTTAAAATTTTCTAAATAAATTATGAAAGATCTTAGCCGGTAAATATCATTTCATCGTCTTTTGGGTAAATTAACTCCAAAATTCAGATAGGTTTAGAAGTAAAGATGGAGCTAACTATACCGTTAGGGGTGAGCAGTACAGGCAAATGGTTTTCGATTTTATGATGTTGATATTGAATAAGTGCTAAAAGATTTAAGTAGGACGATGCAACAAACTATATCTAGTGTGAGATTTGGAAAATTTTGTTTTTTTAAAGTCTATACACTAAAAAACAACATACTAAAAATTAATAATTTTTTAATAATTAATAATATATTTTTTGCATTCCACCAGTTGCCCTCTACCTTTAAATGCGTCCGTCTGTCCATCTGTATATACGCGACTAACCCTCAGTTTTTGAGATATCGATCTGCAATTTTACATACGACCTTTCTTCCGATGAAGCTGCTCATTTGTCGAAATCGCCGTTATCGGGGCACAATAGAATATAGCTGCCATACAAAATAATCGCTCAAAGTAAAGTTATTATATGGAAAACTTTTTTATTTAATGAAATTTGGCATAGATTACTCAGTGCTACAATTTTGGAACACATTTTTCAGATCAGATATTATAATAGCTTCAGTGAATCCGAGTTGTTTTCGTGTTTTTATCTTCAACCACAGTAAAGGCCGCAATCACTGCAGTAGTGGAGGCCTTTTTGTTATTTGCTAAAAAAAAACTGAAAAAGGTATATTATGTTTGCCACGAAGTTTGTAACAGCCAGAAGGAAATGTTGGTGACCCAATATGTGATCAGCTTGACGAGCTGAGTCCATTTAGCCATGTCCGTCTGTTTGTCAATCCTTAATTTTTCATATTTCAGATCCACCGCCGAAATCATGGGCTAAGCTGTCTTACCAACTGTACACTTATTACACCGCCGAAAATAGCTTAACGGTACCGGATGTTCCCAACCACTTGTTGCATGTTGACTTAGAGCCAAGACCCATCTATACAACAACATATAATAATCAACTTATACAACATGCTAATACGCACCCATCGTTTAGGCCGGTTAATTTCTTCCCCTTTCCGAATGTTAGCAATAAATTTAACACACCAACGACCAATCCAGCAGAAGTCACGCCGAAGACAACTAGCAACATAAATACTGCAATAAATTCAACGGATTTATCAGGAGTTTGCGGGGTAGAAGGTACTGTGGTCCGCGGCTTTGTCTATGGAGGAGTTGAAGTTTTGCGGGGCCAATTCCCTTGGCTAACGGCAATCTATAGCAAAAACACAGATGCATTGAGTTTCAAGTGCGGCGGATCATTGATTTCACGACGCACGGTGATCTCAGTTGCTCACTGCTTTAGACGCTTACAAGCCCAGCAGATTGTACTCTTTTTTGGACGACACAATCTGGAGAGCTATAGTGAAGATGGCATTGTAACGCGCGATGCAAACAAACTCATTATCCATACAGATTATGTTAATGGCCAACCGAATGCTGATTTAGCCTTACTACAAATCGAACCTGTCGAACAGTAAGTATCAGTATAAAATCTATACTTCAGATACTTATGTATCTTATTCATTTGACATAGATTTTCGGAGTACATAAAGCCGATTTGCTTGTGGAGCGAATTAGATGAGAGTTCCCTTATTGTTGGGAAAACAGCTTCAGTGGTCGGCTGGGGTTATGAGGGTGAAAGGCAAAAGGATATATCGCCGTTACCAAAAATAGTCGACGTTAAAATTGTCGGTAAGGACGACTGCTTAAGTTCGTCCGAGGCCTTTCAAAACCTTGTCACGGATAAAACAATTTGTGCAGGCAATCGTGATGGCACTGGACCCTGCATGGGTGACTCAGGTGGTGCTCTAATGTTGCAGCGTAACGGTCGCTGGGTTTTACGTGGTGTTGTGTCCGTAGGTCAGTCATCGCGGCAGCGTTGCGATTTGTTTGAATATGTTGTTTATTGCGATGCTGCGAAATATGCTTCATGGATTCGACAAAATCTTTTGGATTAGCGCTCAAATGAAGTTGTGTTCTCATTTACTAATTTGTTATGAACCTAATAATACCTATGTGGTGATAAAATGTTAATAATAAATTAAATGTTTACGGGAACAATATATTATAATCTAAGATTATTTTATGGGTCAAGTCAGAATACTTCATATTTATAATATTTCGACTAATTTAATTTTTTTTTATCATAAATATTATAATTAATATAGTACAATATATCGAAGCTAAGCAGGTGCCAGTTAAGTAGCGTTTAGAAAGTCCGATCGTTTAGAAAGGACCCGAGCATTTATATATTGTTTAAGCCACGGCGATTCCTTTGGTATATAAAAACTGTACTTTAACAAGTCCGACTTTCCTAAAACGAACACCGGAGCTTAAACTAACAATAACCGAATGTTCACATCAGGTTCCCCCTGCGGGTAGGGGTAAGAATTTACCCGCGGTAAGGCATGCCTGTCGTAAACGGCGATTAAAAGCCAAATGCAATGCCAATGCATAGTAAATGATGTCAGAAATAGTGCTATAATACTCAGCTTGAACTGATATTACAGACTTTAAATGAGATTCCAAATAAAAAGACAGTTGAAGTTCAAGCGACAAATGTCACCAGTCATTAAGTAATGGGTAGCTCAACTGGCAGTAGCTTCGGCTACACAGTCTTACCGCAGGCTCAACTCTGGTACCACGGGGAGCAGAATACCCTTGGACTGCGGTTCAATCTGCTCATTGGGTTCGGCCCTTTGGGGAGTATCGTGGTGGTTGTGGTTTAAACCTAAATGCGGGAAGAACTGAATTTTCAGTTCAAAAAAGACGTTGCACAAGCAACTGGGTTCCGTTGAGGTAAAGCCGTCACCGGCAGGTACTCACGTTAAACACACCGGACGTTGTTCACATCAGGTATTGACATTGAATGTCTACATATGGTTAACAATAGACGATGAAAACTTGGTAGGAGGAACCATAAGCTTTATGAAATACAAATACGATGGTTAGGAAATGCCGTCCAAGTAGCGCTAAAATGATTGTCGGTACTTTCGGCTCGAACTTCCGAGGAATTGGAAATAGTGGGTGGATAATAAGGAAAAAGGGGAAGATCAACATATATAAAATGTAGATAAATCCAGCAGTACGTATATTGAGCTCTGAGACTAGCTCCCATATACCATTCCCACCTTACTGTCCAAATACTACTTCGATTCGTATTGTATTTTTCAACTGATAGGTTCCCTTTCTACGTCGTTACATCCTCAAAACATCACTTTTTGGTATGCTTCATGGGCATAAGGAATCATTGGTCCATATTTCTTGTAAAATGAAAACAGCCATAATGTTACAGTCTATGGGGAACGCTATAGAGCCATGATTAATGACTTTTTTGTGCCTGAATTGGAGGGTGTTGATGTGGACGATCTTTGCCAGCCAACGAAACAATAAATTTATAGA